CTCTCTGTTAACCTGCACTGACTACTTCAGGAGCCATAGAAGTGTGGTGCGTGCCTCTAGCTAGGGACTCTCCCTCGGTATAGGCAGATGTAGGAGAGGGCAATAAAAATGATCCTTGTGTTTACCTTGGTGTAAGTCAAGCACACATAAGCACATGCACATACACACACAAAGCCAGGTTAGTAACTGTTTTAATCCAAGTGAAAGACAGTCCCTAGCAGTTCATCACCCCACATGACAGAGATCTTCATGGAGTTTCCATTGCACTGTCTTCTAGCAATACAGACTCAAGTTCTGTTCAAAATAATGGTAAATTTAGAATTAGACAGGTTTATTTTCAGAATAGTTAAGGTTATAATTGGAACTATCTCATTAGAAGACTACACTTAGGTAAGTTTTTATTACCATTGCTCTATCACATTGCTGTTCTATTTATGAGGGGTTGGGCGGGATGACCTTACTACGCCTTCAAGTGCTGAGATTCTATGACTAGACTAGTAGCAATGGACACTTACTGAGGACTTAGTGTCAGAAACAATTCTAAATATTTTTAGATTTAGAATTGTGAAATCTCACTTTGCTCTTAGAGCTACCTAATGATTTAGTCACTATTGTTAGATAATATTAACAATTGAGTAAACGAAGTCACAGACAGCTTGTTACTCACCCAACAGGACATGGTACTCAGTAAACGAAGCCCAGATTTCAACTACAGCGGCCTGACTGAGGAGCTGTTGTAGCTCCCTTTTATGCTGCTTTGTTGTACACGTTTTCAGGCATTGAAAATCTGGTTGCATTTTATAGATTTTATTTCCACTTACTTTCTTAATAATTTTTATTATATTTCTAAAAATTTGCTGAATGGGAGGGAAAGCCATGTAGAAAATTCATGCAATATAATTTGAAACCTTACCGTTATGGAAACTTCCTCCTTGTCTCTCTAGAAGATCTATCTTTTCAGTTATCTATTCCTCATCATACACTGTGAGAAGAGAAAATCAGTTTACCTTTTCAAAGTCTTTCTGAGTGAATGATAACTTACCGAACATTTTAAAATGCTAAATACAAAATATTGATAAATAATCATATGATTTCTATTCAGAGATGTTAATGTTACTGATTGTTACTACTATTTTAATATTTAGAGTTCAAGTGACTTAAGGTATTACTGACTTGAGTATAAATTCGACAAGAGGAAAAGGTCAAATATTTTGTGGTGACAAGACTAGTCTCCAGGGAGAGAATGCCTGTGGACACTCAATGAATCCCTAACCAGCAAATCATGTGAAGTCAATTCTAGAGAAGTTTGGTCCCAGGGGTGCAGAAAAAGAGAGGGGGCAGCGCTCCTAGATGCCAACACTGTGGATGAGGAGCATCGGGGTCAAATAACACACCATGTATAACATTGCTTAGGTTCCATATTTTTCTATTCCCTGAGTCAGAAGTCTGCTTGTTCTCTGTCCTGAATAAACACTCCTAAAGATAGGTTCCCAGTAGTCTCCCAATTTAAGTCCCAAGGACACTCATGAATCTCTCCCCACCCATAGGCAGACCCTCCTCTCTTGACCTTTGTGACAGCCCCGTCTCCCACTTTGCCATCTTCTCAGTCCCTTTTGGAGAATCCCTTTCCTTAGTTCAAACCTTTAATACAGACTTTCCCCCTTGGGCTCTGAGATTATTCTCCAGGGCAGAAAATCTTCCTGCCTTTGGAAATTTATTACCTTTTATTCCCTACAATGAATCTAGTATAACTAGTTGTTCTCAATCAGTGAATACACACTCATTTGTACCCAAAATAAATACTCGACTTTGTGCTCCTTTTAGAGCATTTCTCCTGGCCCAGTCCTCTGTGGAATTTAAATTGGATAGAGAAAAATAGAAATGCAGAAGCATTCTCTGCAGTCCCCTGGTTTGATTTCAACCCCAGGAAGTACTTCAGCTCTCTTCCTCAAATAGCTTTTGAAAGAGTTCAGCATCTTGTTACAACCAAAACAATTTCTACATAACAAGATCTAGAACTGGCAATGGAGTGTGTGTGTGCTAGACATTGCATCTTTGCCCCTGGGAGGTTTACCTGCTTCCCATTCAGGTTTACTATTCTGTCCCAAAGGCCCAGAGCAGCAGAATAACCTGGATGCTCCCCCAAAGTGATTTTTAATGGTAATTATGAAGGACCTTGCCCGACCCTTTCTTGGTCATATTCTGATCTAAAATTTTTCGTGACCCAATTACCCAAGTGAAAAGGGGGGTCATGGTTCTGACCTCAGTTGGGTTCTGGGATCCAGGCCCGGTCAGGGAAGTGGGAGGGCCTGCCAGGAGCTGTGAGCAATGAGCTGAAGGAAACCAAGATTTTGGTCCTGGGTAAGAGAGTGCCTTGTAACTAAGGCAAAGGTTAAAGAATCAAGTTGAGAAGAGTAGGTAAGAGGGTCAGCCAACTGGTAAGATGAAGTGAATTAATCTGGGAAAAGCCTACAAGGATTCCTTAAGGCAAAGGTCATCTAATGTTGAGTTGTTTTGTGGAATGGGAGTTGGAGGGAACTGGGAAGACTATTAATATCCAATTTGGGTTGGAAATTTTTAACAAACTGTAAAATCAAAATTGTGGTTTTACCCATCCTAGACTATTGAAGTTACAAGGATGTATCTTAGAAATGAGAACAATGAAATGTGCTGTCATATTTTCTACTCATACTTTAATTTTGATTCCTGGAATAAGTAAGGGAAAGACTTCCAGCTGTGAATTACCAAAAGCGTCTGGGGCATCTTATAAAAATAAATTAAAAACACTTGCCAGGATTCCCATGGGGGAGAACAAAAGCGTGTGGTCTTCTACCATAGGCTTGATTTCTGTTTAGAATGATGGTAAGTTCAGAATTAGTGAGGTTTATTTCCAGAATAGTTAAGGTTACAATTGGAATTATTTTATTTCACTAGAAGAGTACACTTATGCAATATTTTTATTATCATTGCTCTATTAAAGCTCTCCTTTTATTTATTCACAAGGAGAATGAAAGTGTGTAAGAAAGAACAACACAATTAAAGTAAATGAAATACCATTGAAAATATTAACAAGTTAAGAACAGAATTAAAAATTGTTTGTTTCTTGTCGGTGTCCCCTTAGTCAGATATAAACTCTTAGCAGGAAGGCGAGGGCTTGATCTGTCCTGTTCACAATTATGTCCCTCGTGACAACAGCCCCGCCTGGGCCTGGCACGTGTGCACCGAATAGTCGCTGAACGAGATGAGAGTCCAAGAGGAGCTGAGTGGGTGAGCGGTTCAACACTTATATTCTCTAGCTTTGGAACTTTTAAGACTGCTTTAACTTTTAAATCATATGTGCTAGTAACAAGAATATTAAATCAAATGTAGTGATCCATATTCTGATGCGCCATTGATCATTCAAGGGTATTTTTTAAAATGAAAGATGGATGTTTCTGGAACTCCACCAAGATCTTTGGATCATGAAGTGAAATAAATCCTTAATAAGAAATTCCTCTAACAGAATACAGTGCTCGTTGGATTAACTAGGTCTAGAAGAAACGGAAAAAGAAGAGATGGTGGGTAAATAGCAGAGCTAAACCGGAACTGAGTATCTTAGTGGTTCTTCCTGCTGAATAAAGTTATACTGAAGGTAAAGAATAAAAAGTTATCTTTCATCTTACCCTTTCTTTTATCTTTGTATGTTAATAAAAAAGGATTCAAAGCCCCCAAAACAAAAAAATTACAAAATCCTATACAAAGTAGAGGTCTTGAGAAAGCAAACAGGCATATTTTACTCACAGGTGTCCCTACTAGCATGCATCTATCTTATCTGTGGGTGCTTCTTGGAAAAGGCTTACAATCTGAAGAAAGAAAAGTATACTGGACTGTGCAGAATGATCATGGAGGAAAACAAATTGCTTGTCATGTGTGACTACAAAAATACTTTCCACGCTTCTGTGAACTCCTTTTGAAAAACATTACTTGAGGAGGTACTTCAGTAAAAGGAAAAACAATGAATCCTAAGAAGAGGAAGATATGAGATTCAAAAAATTCTTCTAACTCAGTAGAGCACTGAAAAGAAACTAAGTTTTATGAAGTAAAACAGGAAGTCAGGACTTTTACAAAAATGCCTATAAGAAGTAAATGAATATATATTTACCAAATAGTAAGATGAATAATTACAATGATGGGAATAAAGATATATGTGTCCTTTTTTACAAGAAATAACAAAGATAATTAAAAGCTCTAGCAAATGCAAAAATCTGCACAGGAAAGTCACAATGTAAACATGGAACAGGCTGAAAAGTAGCATGACTCGAGAAACAGAAAGCAAGCGAAGCCAGACTTGATCTTGGCACTAGATGTTTGTCTTTCAAGCAATCCCTTCAAGCAACAGAATTACATTTCTTATTTCCATTTTGGTCCTTTATAAATAATATTTGCACAATCATAATATGTTCTATAACTTTTATTCATTTTAAAATGTTAGATACAAATTATAGAGTAAGCATTTCAAGATATAAGTATAGGTATAGAATAGAATGTAAACATAAACTTGAAAAGGTCAAATGAATGAGAAAGTTTACAGAGTTTAGAAGATAAAGGAAGAGCATTTCCAAATTTTCTTATCTTAAATAATGGGAGAACTATAGAAACAAAGATTATGTTACTCAAAATCAAAAAGATAACCAACAGAAGAAGTATTAGTAATCTTAAGAGCTAATAATTACAATAAAAAAATAAAATTATAATATCCACTAATAGAAAAATAACAATAATATGGACAATGCAAAAGTTTTTCAGCTTATAGGTAACATCTCAAGTAAATGAATCATAAAAAGGAGGTATAGTCATATTGTTCAAATATTGGAGGTAACAAAAGAACTAGAAATAAAAGCGTACTAAAAAAGTACTTCTGGGAGTAAATATCAGAGGTGGAGTAGAGGGTGGGAAAATTCATTTTATAATATTCTGTATTTTTTAACTTTCTTCTTTATCATATGGATATATTATTTTTATTATACAAAAAAAGGAAAAGCATTCCTGATAGCTGGTTTCGTATTTTCTTCAATATCCTGAAGTGCATTCTTACTAAGGATAAAATGAACATACCCCTGCAGGTAACATTGAAAGACGCAGCAATGCCAAATGAATGCTATAAGTAATATTGCAATGAGCAGCAGCATCAGAAATCCAAACAAGTCAACTGAAATGTAAAGAAATATATTTTAAACTAACAGATTAATAATTTCTTACATTTTCATCTTTTCTAGCATCACACAGTCTGATTCTTAAATACAAGTTCAGTTGTCACTGAAAATGCCTTGACATACATCACATACTCCAATAAAATTACTATTAACACAGCAGTCACTAACATTTAAAAATAATCTGGGTTGCTAAAAGGAGGTAACATTGTCTCCAGTTGGTAAACTGTTATGCCACTGGCTACTTTTTCCCTAACCTCCTTCCAGGCAATACCTCAGCAGATAAAATAGCAGATTCCTCGGGTTGCCTTTAAGTTTGTATACAGATGCACAGGATGCTTTGTTGTCTGAGTTTAGACAGTTCCTTATCAGAGAGACAACAAATGCTTGCTTGTAAACTTCCCCTCCTCCCTCCATGCTATGTGAAACTGTAAGGACCCAACATGAAATAGGAGACTAGGGTTCCCACTCACACTGAATTTATGAAGTGTTACTTGTTTATAAGCTCTTTGATGTAAACAATTCAGATTTAAATATACCTAATAAGATCTGAAGAAAACAGGGACTTGAGGGCAAAATTTATGTTTTTCACTTCAATTAAGAAAAAAAACATAGACAACTGGTTGTTCTAAATAGGATTTCCTTATATAGTTAGGGTTCTCCTGGAAAGCCTTTTAACTCTTTTTGAAAACTTCTTAAAAGGTTCTAATACATGTCCCTGCCTTAGCAGCTACCACCTAACAAACCAAAAATATAATAGTATAGATATAACTTAAAGATTCTTTGATGCTGGAGATTTGCTCAGCCCTAGGGAGTCATTGTTCTGAATGGAAATTCTCAGTATGAAATACATTAGCTGAGGAAATATAAGCAGTAGTTACGTTACTGGGCTCAGTACGTCCTCACCCCAGGACTAGCTTAAAAGAAACTCCTGGGGTTCCTAAAACAACACACCAATAACACAACCCACCTTTCTCTGGGTCATGGTTATCATTCATCAGAATAGAGATGAAATGTAAAGCATTTAACAACTGGTACAGTAAGGCACCCACCAATCAGAGTGAATGCTGACCTAGTAGAACCAACAGAGGATGGAAAGGACCCATATCAGCCTATATTAGGGAAAACATTGATAAACAAATTGGCTATTATTTTAATAAAACAAATAAAATAATTTCTAATCCTTCAAATACAGCAAATCACTAGTATTTGTGAGTCAATTTAAAAAATACGTACAAATTCTAATAGGGACAACTCACCTGTACAGTTCAACCAAAATACCAAACTTATCGAACACCCCAAACGCAAAAGACAAAACGTTTTGCAAGCCTGTTCTTCACTGCACCAAAAACACTGTATTTGGAAAGAAAAAAATAAAAGCAGTGTACAAGGATAACAATCACAATTCCTGTAAGTTTTTACTGCCAGTTCAATAAATAACAGTCATCGACATCATCAGCCGTCATCATCATCATCATCATTTTATTATTATTCGTGCTGTTGTAGGTGGTGTGCCCGGATCCCCCTTACCAGGCCTGTGCACCCAATCCCAGCTGCAGTGAGTGTTGGCTGTAAGCAGCTCAAGCCGCCCTCCTGGAGTTGTCCTCAGTGGATAGGAACCATCTTTCGCAAGAGGTAATGCTCCTACCCCTCCCCACCAGTAACTGACTGATGGATAGGGCTCCAAACAGCAGGCATCCTTGCCTGAAGGCAGGAACAACTGTGCTACGTGATTCCCCACCCCCCACCCCAAGGGCTGCCCCTGGTTCAGCCAAGTGTAGACTTTGGTTCAGCCAAGTGTAGACTTTAGCTGAGATCACAACTTTGCTTGGCTTGTGTCCCTTACATGCCCTGAGTCCCTCAGCTGAGGGGCAGTCACTCAAGAAATGGCATGTGCCTGCATCCTTTCCTCAGGCTCTGTATTTAGGGAACTAAACCTGAGACACCACTCACAAAATAGTAGTAAGGACTTCGGCACACAGGACTTTATCTCTCTCTCTCCAATGTTCTTTCCCGTTCCCCTTGTCCACAGCACCCACTCTTTCCTCTGTTACATGTGGGCCAATGGTGCTGTTAATCAGCCTCACCTCTTCCCCCTCCCTCTTCCTGCTCACAAGTGGTCAGATAATCATGTGGAAATCAGAAAATGGAATTGTCAGCCCCTTGCTGAAGTAAGCAAAATCTAGGTACAAAGGTGGAAACCATTGTGGGAGATAAGACTAGAACCTGGATAAGTCATGAAAATGAGGACAAAGTAGTAAAAAGGGCTGTTACTTACATAGGGCTTACCATGTGACAGGCACCATTTTGAGTCCCTTTTATGTACTAAGTCATTTCATCCTCAGGACAATCATTTCATCCTACCTGTGAGCTAGGTACTATTGTGACCACTTTATAGATGAAGACAATAAGCCACCAAGCGGTCAAATGACTTATGTGAGATTACACACGCCTAGTAAACAGGGGAGCTGGAGTTCTCACCTTATCACCGTGGTTATGTGCTCGTAACCAGCCTATAAGACTGATTTCAGACCTCTCTCAGTCACTCTGGCCGTACATCGGGAGACCAGCAGAGGTAATGACTCAGCCCTGAGACACAGCCTGAGAGCAGAAGGTATTCACAGGCCAGTTTTTGCTTTATGCACACCAAGACCAAAGGTCAAACGAAGCCATTTAGGTAAGTAAGAGACTGAAGCCAGTGTGGACAAATGCATCCTGTCCTTTTTAATTGATGTATCAGGTTGTTATGTTTGGTTTGCATCTAGCAGGTTTTTAAGGGAGATGAATTTTCAGAAGCAACCTGAACCTGTCAGAGGAGCTTGTGGTTCCTCAGCACTGAGCTGAATCCCAGGCCCCAGTCACCAAGTTCACAACAGATGAGATTCTAAAGCAGTGCCGTCCTCAGTAGAAACATTCTCTCCTGCGCCTCCCTCTGAGGGCTCAGGATGGGGGCTCAGAAAATAAAGGAAAAGAGAGCCCCTGCACAGCTTAAGCCTGGGGCAGCCTCGTGACTCACTGGGCCAGGGAGACTCCACAGAACATCTGCACATTATCCCAACTCTCTGAGTTTCCAGACCTAGAGCTGGGGCTGGGGAGGCAGGGAGGGCAATAACTGACAATGACTTTGGTAAGTACAATTTTAGTTGAGCGTTAGTTGCATTATTTTGCAGGAACATTTTTTTTAAATGTAGGCATAGCGAAAATAAAATGTGCATGTCCTGAAAGGTAAGGATAGAATACAGTAGACTAAGGAAGTACCTTTTCTGACTCTCTGTCTGCCCTGCTCAAGTAGCATCCTTCTCCCTCTGGGAGCCTTCTCTCTTTTGTGGGCTTCTTCCCCCAGCCCCACGTAGCTCTGCAGCTGTCAGCCAGCTTGGCCCACCTACCACTTTCCCATCACTGAACTCACTGGGCCCAGGTGGAGGCACTCAGGGAAGCCCAGCCTGCTGGCCCAGTAACTAATGCTGAGCTGGGCATAATTCACAAACCCAGCCAATCAGAATCTTCTCTGGAGTTGTATACAGGCTCTGGGAGAGATCTACTGGGAGCCAGCTTCTTCCCCAGCTTTGTGGAGAATGTCCATTTGCTGTAGAAGAGAATGAGGTCAATGCACAGGGAGGCAAGACAGGGAGACCAGGGGAGAGAGAGAAAGAAGGAACAACACGCTTTAGGATTCAGCTGTGTGTGAAGCCAAGGCCACTCCTGGGCTTCCCAATTCTGCGAGTCAGAAATTCCCCTTTTATTACATTCATAAGTGGGGTCTCTGTCACTTAGCCCAAAAATGTTTGACTACTAGCTTAACTAAATCTAAAAGTCTTCAAAGAGCAGAACTTCACATTACCCAGAGGAAAAGAATAATATATTCAACATCCCTAAATTGGTAATTCATAATTAAAGACAAACTGCATGGATGTTTTCTTGTAGTTTAAGAAGATTGTCCATATAAATACAAAGCCATGCCTACCTCAGCCCCTTCTGAGAAGTCAGCTAAAAGGCTTTAGAATGATAATTAATATTGTTCTATAGGAAAACTAGAGTATTTGTTCTGGGGTAGAACTGTTAATAAGTTTAGACATCAAAATTGATGTTTTTATAAGCTAATTTCATTAAAATGAAAAAATAGAGAAAGGGGGAGGTACATAATAATATTTAATAGTTCGTTAACGTTATAAAAGATTTAATATTATACTTCAAAACATATCATACTAAGTAAGTACAATACGTGCAAAGGGTGTTTTAAAGTAATGGACATAGAAAGGACCTAAAGCGCATTTCCTAATCATTTATGGGCAAATGGCAGTTACACAGATATATAGAGCGCTATTTTTCCTTTGTTTGGCATGTACAATATGTACAGCCTGCAAAACACAAGTCTAAAAGCAAGAATATTATATTCAAAAGGACTGGAACAGATATAAAATGTAACTGAAGTTTGTAAGAGAAAGTATTCACTTCTGGCTGGTCTGACTAGGTCAGATTTCTTTCAGGGAACAGGCAGAACTCGGTCTGAGCCTGTAGCTGAGCCTGTAGGGTTAGGTAAGGCCTGTCCAGGAAAGAGATGGTCTTAGACACACAAGCCATGGCAGAATGAAAGAACAGTGTCCACCGCAGCAGGAGTGAAAATCTGTTGTGGTGGACCTTTGTGGATTTATTTGGAAGGTCAATTTCCCTCAGACTGGCATGGGTTTGGAATGCCAGGCTATGGAGTTTTTGTTTTAACAATAAAGAGTCAACTAAATTATTTTGAGCTGACAGGTGACATAATGAAAGTCCTAATTGATGATAATGAATAAAGTATCAAGAGGGACTGGAGGGACTGAAGGCTGGGAAGCCTAGGATTGTTCCAGTTGCAAGAAAAAACTGGAGGGACTGATAGGGCTTGGTGAACAGCAGGTAGTGAAAAAGTAAGAACAAGGAGCCAAAGATTTTGAAAATTATGTTTGGGTGCATGCTGCCAGAAGTAAAGAAGTCAATAAAAAATGCTTCTTTGCGGAAGAAAAATGATAGATTTAGTTGTAGAAAATTTGAACTTGAGACAAGGGAAAAACATCAATCAAGAACTATGTCACCCTGAGGCCCAGGGGCTATTAGGTCTGGGAATATGAATTTGGGGTTTTGTTGTGCAGGTACTAGCGGAAGTCATGGCAGTAGGTGAGGTGGCACAGGGGTGAGTAGTGTGGTAGCACGAAGATTTTTGAATTCTTAGAAGGGGTATACAGAACTCTTTGGAGTATGAGGAAAGATGAGGAACAGGAGCTGGTGAAGCAGATGAAGAGGTGAAGGAAAGAAGCAGGCAGGAGAACACCTAAAGTCCAGATGCTGTTCCCATAAGGAGTGACTAATTTGAAAGGTCATTGCATTAGGCTATGGAGAGTCTTTTGTGAGCTCTAGATCAGCATGCTAAGGATTAAATCAAGGGGTTAAGGTAGCAAAGGTAGCATAAGAACTTTAGCTGCTAGAAAGAAACAAGATTTTCTTTTCATTTCATCTGAACTGATAAGAAAGGGGCTGATGCAGAGAACTAGGCTGAATTTGTCACAGAGGGAACAAGGAAATGAGAAAGGTTCTGAGTTTGTGAATGTGTCTCTGAGCATGATGCATGTGTGGAGGTAAAGACTTGGGGGTTAACCTTAGAACTGAAAATCGACTTCCTAGGGGAAAATGAGTGTAAGAGAATACAAATGGAATTGGTTCAGAAGAAAAAGGAGGGAACTTGAACCTGACGGATGACCTTAAACTTCTCAAGGAAAATCAAGCTCCAGAAGGATTGTCATGCCGAGAGCAATTAAGGTGTTGGGAATAGTTGCCTTGGAGAAGAACCCAGGCAACTAGTCCTCCAATTTTTTTCAGCTGAGAGACACTTGACAGGTGATAACAACATGGTCGCTGTCATATCCAAATTCAAATCCATGACCCTGTCCACTCTCCCTTACTCTATGCCCTAGCACACACCCACACACATTTTTCAGAAGAATAAATATCAAACGGGCATCCTTGTGAGGTTGGAGGTATGGCACTTACAAATGCATTTTACAAGCCCGTGAATAATGGTCACTTCCTGCAAAGTGTCATAGATGAGGCAGGCTGTGGGAGATTCAATAAAACCCCACCAGGCTAGCTGTAACTTCATTCCTTGCTGTCTGAACCAATAATCCGTATCAAGATGCAATGAATGAGAAAGATGTGATTAATTGAGAAAATATGTACTCTAATGCATTTTTAAGTTAGTTGCAAAACTCAGTCTCTTAACCGTCATTAGCACACAAAAAAAATTACTTACAACAAATCTCATCATTGTGACACCATAATTGAAATCTATCACTCCAAGGAATCAACAGTGACACATAATGATTCTGAACAAAAACAAAAGCTGAAAGCTCACTAAGTTTCTTTTTTTTAATGTGATTTTTTAAAGATTTTATTTATTTATTATTAGAGAGGGAAGGGAGGGAGAAAAAGAGAGAAAGAGAGAGAAACATCAATGTGCAGTTGCTGGGAGCCATGGCCTGCAACCCAGGCATGTGCCCTGACTGGGAATTGAACCTACGATGCCTCATTCACAGCCCATGCTCAATCCACTGAGCTACATCAGCCAGGACTTGAAAGTTCACTGAGTTTTTAGTTAGCATGATTTTATTTCTAGGAGAAAAGAAAATATCAAGAAAAATATGCTTTTCATACGTTGTATTAATGAAATGTGTATTGGGGTAGAACTGTAACTTAGTTGCTTTTAATGGATTTGCTTTCTGTAAGAATGTTTTCTAACTCTAGGAAGGCCAGTCACATACAATTGGATCACTAGGAAATATTTTTATGATAGAATCTGAGGAAGATGCCCTTGTACTTGAGAAAGATAAGCATGTTATCATTCAAACTGGAATATTTGGGGAGATGAAAAGGAGTTGGTACACTCTCTATCTATCTATATATCTATCTGTCTCTATATATCCATATACACACACACTGTTGGGCAATATAAGTTTATAGTTGTGCGCATGCAAAACTGAATTTATTCTTGTATTCTTGTATTATTAATCATTGTATTATTTTCCATACAAAGTGAGATATTTGCAAGTAAAATGATACAGTATATCATTTTTGCTTTAGAACAATCCATTTTGGAGGAGAGGGCACATATGAAATAAGATTAGCTAAGATGGATCTTGGGAGGGTATAAAGTTTTACTATACTGTTTTCGTGCATGAATATTTCTATTGTAACAAACAAGGAAAGGTGTCTATCAAGTATCAAGTAAACAGCTGTGTGAAGTCACAAGAAGGAAAGGAGTTCGTATAAGAAGGCTTCAAAAATGAGGGATTAAAGAGCTAGAGAATTTTCTTGTCTTGTTGAGGCCAAAAAGTATATACAGTGTAAGGGGATGAGAATGCAGGAGTCATTGTGGATACGCAGAGTACAGGGTGTGGCCTTGGAAATGACTTCCTAATGCACAGAGCTGAGGAAGTTGGGACACAGCAGGACCGAGTATGTCAGGGCCATTGCCAAGTATGGAAAGCACATTAGATTGTGGCAGGAATTGAGTAGAGAAGTCCAAGAGCCCTGAGCCCAAGTCTCCATTGAAGCAGAGGAATGTTCTAGATGAAGATAAGTAGGGGCACAGAGTGGTCCATCCAGCTCATTATGACAGATAGCAATGACTAGAGTGTGCCCTTTTCTAATTAGTATTTTGTGTCACTCTGTCTATGGTGTTAATTTTCAGTTCTCCAATACTTGTTAAAATAGAATGGTTTTGGCTGGGGAGCCGGGGCGGGGGGGGCGTGCTGCCAAGCTCTCCATAACGCCATTTACCTCATTACAGCATTTCTGCTTTTTTCCAAATCTGAAGTGAAGAATAATGGTGCCAGACACTTAATCATCAGAGAAGGGGTGTTTGCTATTGTACATTGTGGTTAAAGAGCAGTATGTCATCCTTTCTAGTCTTCAGGGGATAGACTATCAATAAAATTTTCACTGTATCTCAAAAGGCTTATCTTCTTCCCTGATGCAGAAAAAATTCTTCCCAAAGCCAAGGTCACTATGATCTTTTCCATGCAAAAAAATTGTTTTGTTTTTGAAGCATAATTTTTTAGAAGGGAGCACATGTTCGTACTAAATTGTTTCTTGTTTATTTCTAGATCCTTGAAGAACGGTTTGAAATGTAGAAATACATCTTGATTGCTACTAGCCATTCATACAACAGAAATTGTGTAAAACGAAGTTTAGCATGCTTTTTGAACTGCGGCTGTAAATTATGTGGCTTTATAACATCCCCAAGATAATATCCTCATATTAAAGTTAACTAACTTACTTTTCTATCTTCTGTGCACAATTGACAATTTTTCTTTAATGAACATCCTACAAGAAAAAATATTAAGTACAAAAATCTAAATACAAGTCTGTTTATTGCTCAAGAGTATATAAAAGTTCATTTCAGTTAGCCATTCCTGTTTCTTAGCATATTTATCCATATCCAGCATTTTCCTTCATTATTTTCATGTATCTAGAAAATGTTCCCATTGGTGCTATTTAAATCTTAACTCTTTATTTTCTCCTATTACTTGGAAAATTAAGAAATGGCACTATCCAGCTTTGATTAGCCGAGTAAGTTCTAAAAAAACGGCTTCTAAAAAATATAAGAAAAAAATGCACAATATCACTGTACATTTAAAACATCATACTTTAAAAATCTCTTTTAATAATTCTTTTGTTGCCCAGGCTGGTATAGCTCAGTGGATTGAGCACAGGCAGCGTACCAAAGGGTCACAGGTTCAATTCCCAGTCAGGGCATATGCTTGGGTTGTGGGCCAGGTCCCCAGTGGAGACCATGTAAGAGGCAACCACACAATGAAGTTTCTCTCTCACTCTTAAAAAAATAAAAAATAAAATAATTCTTTTGTTATTGAGCATGGTTTTACTAAGATAGACCTAGTTAACTATCTTTATGGAGTTATAAAAGTGATACAAGTTCAATATAAGAAATAAATATATATCAAAAATAAAAAATGAACTGAAACTCTACCATACAGAAAAAACTTTGATTCTTCACTTTACATTAAGCAAATGAGTTCTATGATCTGAAGTTAGGTTTTGCCATCATCCCGGATGGCTCTGGCCATGAACTCCTAAACTGCAATGTTCTGTTCTCTGACTAGCACCTTCTTTCCTCTCTCACATGCATTTTGACATCACTAAGCTCTCAAATATAAATGAATTAAAGGCCTAGGGATCCAAGCAACCTGCTTTGGGGGAGGTCTCACTTGATCTGGGGTCATTTGCAAAGTCCTGCAGTTGCCTGTGTCAAAGGCCTACCACTCAGAGCTCTACCAGGGATGGAGGTGGGGAGCTCAGTGAGGGGTCAGAACCCCCTTTTCAGTTTTTGTAAGTGAAGGAATCACGTCTAAGAAACCATATCCTTGTTGGAAAGTTTTATGCAAGCATGAAGGGGAAGCTGCCCCAGACTGGGGAGCAATGCTCAGGAGAGGCCTAAGACTGGCTGAATCAGGGTTTTCCTCACAAAAGGAAGCTGTTTCCTCAGCAACAATGAACAGGGCTGGTCAGCCCCAGAACTGTCTGTGTTATCTATGATTCTTGACTTGCTTTGTTGACACCCTTTTTGTTCTGCCTCAAGCATTTTAATAAGATATTTTGAAAAAAATCTGGTATGACTCCAGTTTGCTAGGGAACAAAGGGGAGGATGTGTTTCTCTGTGTGGCCTGTGATTTTAGGCACTGTGGTGAGGGGGGCAGGGGGTGGCTACAGGGCAGGATGGTGCTAGATCACTGTTCCTTTTGGAGTGCGTGACCAAGAGAGAAACCAATGGGGAAGGTGACCCCAGAGGAAACCAGCTGAGCCTCTTACCTCAGTCTCTCCCCACTCCCATGCTCCCAAAGCTACGAGCTTGGGTTTGGCTTTAGTAAGAAGACAGACTCTGTAACAGATATTAACATGTCCGTAGACTAGAAATTGGACAGCACTAATTATTCCATCTCACAGCCTTCGTAAAAATGGCAATTTTGGCTTTACAGGGCATTTTTCCAAGTCATTCAAATTTTGCCCTTCCATCTATACAGTTAATTCAGGATTCTAAAGACCTTACTTCCAAGCCCATGAGTTCACCTCAGCATGATTTTGAATGCTTCAAAATTTCTTCAGTTGGGGAGGAGAACCAAGGGAAGAATCTAAACCAAAGTAATTATTTCTTAAGATAAGACCCAAATTAAGCAATTGTTACCTCAGAACTTAAAACACAGACTGGTTATGGCACTGAGTGAAGTCTGATTAGGGCAAAAACCAACAGTGTATTATTCACAGCCAAAAGCTTATGAGCTGTATAGATCGTGGGAAAAGTGAGGGGACAGACCTCCTTTCCCAAATTTAAAACTATTTAAACCCACTGTTTTCATTTCAGGTAAGGCAAATTCATTCAAGCCCAGTTTAACTGTATTTTACCCAAATCATCAGGAGCCTTTAAATATGTTTTCTCGCCAACACTGGAACAGCAGTTTTACAGATGAAAACGTCAGCCTACCAGGTTTGCACGACCAGAGTTAGTAGGGCGGCAGTGGCGCTGGGGCACCAGCCTCTGTCTCGAGAGGGCTCACCGTCATCATCCACAGCTTTTGGTCTCAGCTTGCCCCTGTGCCTGGACACTTGGGAATAACCGTTCTCTGAGAAGCTGATGAGCAGTTGGATGAGAAAGATAGAGACGAAAATGGGCAGGAGGATTTGGCCACAAACCCGCAGGGAGCACATGGCTGCTCAGGCCTGGGGTCCACAAGTCCCCAGCCAGTGCGACCGTGAGGGGCACCTGGCACTGGGGTGCGCCGGCGGACCCCGCTCAGGGACTGTGATCTGCTGCAGCCCTGGGTCCTGAGGCAGCGCCTTCCAAGTCTTGGACCCCAGAATAATTCACAGAACCTTAGAACTCCTAATATTCTAGCCAGAACACAGAATGTTCATAATGCAATCCCCGTGGGCACAAGGCTTGGGCTTCCTAGGGCCCTGATCACTAGGTACAACCGGGAACTGTTCATCCACTGGACATTGATTGATCCTTGCTATACCGCTGTTTTCGGAAAAAGGCCTGGAATGTAATTTTCACCACTCAGTAAATGTGTAAAGCATGGCACTTTTCTGTCCTCCTTTCCTTGGATGTAAATGAACCTACCCTGCCCCCGACTCCCACCCTGTGAGGATGTTGTATGATAAACTGGAGAGGTCCTGAAGCTCTATACATCCTTGATCTTGTCCTTGACTAGTCTGGCCCTGTGGCATGCTCTAACCAGTTTCCCAAAATATGGTGTATTTTAGGTATATAGATGAATATTTTTTAATTTTCATAGCTATGAATATAATTAGTAGTTATAATTAAATAGTGGCAACAATATAAAGTTTCAGAACTATAATAGTAGTACATGATTTAAAGGATACATGGTGCAGGTGGTTGCAGAATGACTAAAATTTGAGCAATGTTGCCCCAACGTGGGGTTGGGGGGTGGGTGGGTCAGGAAATGGAAACTTGTCTTTGACTGGGGCCTATCTTGTTTTGTTTCTCAAAAATGAAGAGTGCAATTGTCTGTGACATTCCTGGTATATTGCTCTCAACTGCAGCCTGAGGGCTATGGAGGTAGTACTGATGATAAAGATGGAGAAAGGGATGGCTATGGATAGTTCCAGATGGCTCTTTCCTTCCCTGTTTGCAGTGCAGGTGAGAGTTAGCAACTGTAACAGGAAAAGTGCTCTTACAAACAGAGGAGAAAAGGACCCCCCTAAAAAGGGAAAACAGAAGAGGGATGTGAAGAGGCCATCTACAGAAATGCAAATCCAAGTAGCCAATGAATATGCTAAAAATGAGTAGCACTTTGTACCCATCTGGGCAGCAAAAAACTTGAAACAAAGCTAGCACATGATGCTGGTGAAGATGTAGGAAAAAATACCATTACAACTTTTGGTGGACAAATTGTTATAGTGTCCTTGGAAAACAAACTGGCAGCAGCCATCAATATCATATATATATATTCTTTTTTTTCCTGTTTTGTTTTTTAATTATATTTTATTGACTATGCTATTAACAGTTGCCCCAATTGTCCCTCCTTTGTCCCCCTCCATCCAGCATTCCCCACTCCCTCAGGGCGGTCCTCACACTTTTGTTCATGTCCCTGGGTCTTGCATGTAAATTCTTTGGCTACTCCATTTCCTACACTGTACTTTACATCCCCATGGCTATTCTGTGTCTACTAATGTGTACTTCTTAATCCCTCACCTCTTACCCATTCCCCCACACTCTCCTCCCATCTGGCAACCATCAAAATATTCTCTGTACCCATGATTCTGTCTCTGTTCTTGTTTCCTTAGTTTGTTTTTAAGTTTCAATTGTTGATAAATACATATTGCCATTTTACCGTTCATAGTTTTGATCTTCTTCTTTTTCTTAAATAAATCCCTTTAACATTTCATATAATAGGTTGGTGGCAATGAACTCCTTTAGTTTTTTTCTTGTCTGGGAAGGTCCTCATCTGCCCTTTGATTCTAAATGATGGCTTGGCTGTGTAGAGCAATCTTGGCTGTAGGTCCCTGCTTTTCATGACTTTGAATATGTCTTGCCAGTCCCTTCTAACCTCCAAAGTTTCTTTTGAGAAATCAGCTGACAGTCTTATGGGAACTCACATGTAGGCAAAAAACTGCTTTTTTCTTGCTGCTTTTATGATTCTCCCCTTATCTTTAACCTTTGGGATTTTAATTATGATGTGTCTTGGAGTGGGCCTGTTTGCATCCATCTTGTTTGGGACTCTGCTTCCTGGACTTTGCATGTCTATTTCCTTCATCAAGTAGGGCAGTTTGCTTTCATTATTTTTTCAAATAGATTTGGAATTTCTTGCTCTTTCTCTCCTCCTGCTGGGACCCCATGATAGGAATGTTGAAACACTTGAAGTTATCCCAGAGGCTGCTTACACTATCCTCATTTTTTTGGAACTTTTTTCTTCTTGTTGTTCTGATTGATTGTTTTTTGCTTCCTTAAATTCCAAACCATTGATTTGATTCTCAGCTTCATCCACTCTACTGTTGTTTCCCTGTAAATTGTTCTTTATTGCAATTAGTGAATCCTTCATTTCTGACTGGGTCTTTTTTATGCTGTTGATGTCTTCATTAAGTTCCTTGAGCATCCTTATTACCAGTGTTTTCAGATCTGCATCTGATAGATTGTTTATCTTCCTTTTGTTTAGTTCTTTTTCTGGAGGTTTGATCTGTTCTCATTGGGGCCATGTTCCTTTGTCTCCTCATTTTGGCAGCCTCCCTCTGTTTGTTTCTATGTATTAGGTAGAGCTGCTATGACTCTCTGTCTTGGTAATGTGGCCTAATATAGTAGGTGTCCTGTAGGGTTCAGTGGCACAGCTTCCCATGTCACCCAAAGCTGGGCAATTGAGGTGTGCCCTACATGTGGGCTGAGTATACCCTCCTCTTATAGTTCAGTCTTGGTTGCTCAGTTGGAAGGTAAATGGGAGGGATTTACCTATGCCAATCAGTTGCAAGGCCAGGCTGTGACCAATGAACACCAACCTGCACTCTCCATGGAGGATCGTCTGTGCAGGGGCAGGGTGATGGTGTTCCAATGTGGTCTGTAGCTCTCTACTGGGTGCACATGCTCTGGGGTTTCTCAGGTGGTGCAGGTCACAGTCAGCCCCCACCTGTGTTTTACCTAGGGCCATCCTGCATGAACTACAAAGCAATCTGCAGATGGCTGCTACTTGTGCTGGGCTTAGAGATTCCCAGGTAAAGCCAAGCTATGAACCTAGGCTGGCTGCTGCTAGTGCCAGGCCTGGGGCCACTTAGCAAGAGGTATGGGGGCTGGAGGCTTGCAGAGGCCAGCTGTTGCTAGTTTGAGAGAATTTAAGATTTTATGAAGCATGAGCCAAGACCATCCATTCATATGCAAAAGCCACTGTTAACATATGTTGGGTGGGGTGGGGCCTCAGGAAACTTTAGGGTGGGGAAAACAGTGTACACCAGGTTGATGGAGTCTCAGATATGGCACCTACATGTGGCTCTGTGGCTCTGTGTGGGGAAGGTTCAGAAAAGGAACAATGGCCTCTGCCCACGGTTCTGTCTAGGAGAAAGCTGTTTCCCAGCTCTTGCCTTGATGCCAGACACTTCAGTTCCTCTGTATATTCTATTGATGCCTTTCAAGTTGCTGCTCTGGTGCTGGACCTCAGAGGGCATGAGTCTGGGTAAGTTTGTGTATGGATTATTTAAGAGGAACTGCTTGGGACTCCAGAAGTCTGTTCCACCAACACAATCCCTACTGGTTTTTGCAGCCAGAAGTTATGGAAACTTACCTTCCTGGCACTGGAACCCTGGGCTGGGGGGCCTGGTATGAGACTGGGGCTATTCAGTCCCAAGATATTTCTTTCTGAATTTTTATCCACCACACAGGGTGTAGGACCAGCCCATTCAGAAGTCTGAATGGATATGGTTTCTTTAGTTCCATCATTGTCAGACTTCCATTCAACTAGATTTCTGATGGTTTTGAGTGATGGTTATTTTACAGTTTAGTTGTAATTTTGATGTGATTGTGTGAGGAGGCAAGCCATGTTTACCTATGCCTCCATCTTGACTATAAATTAAATATATATATGTTCTTTATGTGCATTTTTGTTTGGGAATCTGCCCTATACCACTTCTCAATTCTCATAGAGTAAATGGGGCTCCAATACCTACCCTGGGAGTGGAGCTTGAAAACTAGACATGAACAAGTCAGAACATGGCATTCATCTGGCTATCATGACTGTGTCAAAGGTAGGTACATGACCTAAACTGGTCCAATCCAAATCAGTCTCAGGGCTTTTGCAGGAATGCTGAGACAAAGATGCTTTCTCTGATTTGATCTGGAAAGATTTAATCCCCATAGCTGCTAAAAGCCATCTTGAGACCATGCAGACTATGACAGTGAAAATGCCCTGCTCAGAGCATAATTGACTGATGGCCTCAGCTGTTGTCCTTCAGATTCTTCCATCATATTAGTGCCAAGGCCATGCTTCCTACAGGCTGCTCCTGTCCAAGACTAAACATGGCAGGGATACTAATGCAGGATGCCTCCAATGGAAGATTTTGGCTTCAGGACTGCCCTTCAGTCTGCAACTTTCTCAGAACTGGGCTGTACTTTTAAGTGCTACCAAACAAATCCTCCTTTTTCCTCCTTTACAGGATTCATGCCTTTATTGCTGTGTGAAGTTTCTCCTCACCTTCACTAATTCCCTCCCCTTTATCTTTCCCAATTGTTTCCCCAATAAACCTCTTATAATCTCATCTTGGTAGCTAATTTTTGAAGGATTAAAACTAACACAATGGCACTGGAATTGTTCTCAGAAAACAAGCAGTTAGATAAGATTTGAGACCCATACATTGACTATCCAATGGGTAAAGAAGATGCCATCTTGAGCAGTCTGTTGAGTATGGATAGTCCCTGAAAAGAGATGACAGTTGAAGTGCTAAAAATTTCATTGGTGGTGAAATATTTTCCACTTAGGAAGATGAACTAGTAAAAAAATTCCCTGGTAGGTATAAAACTTCAATCATTTAAAGAATAGGGTAGCAGTACCTATAATAACAACAAAGTTAGTTATAGAATTGTATTGATGCCCTGCACAGGGGTAATGAGAAAAAGAGGGCCACTAGCAGTCAAAGACTAAGTGTGAAATTAGAGGGCCTCTTTGGTAGCCCCCATCCACTGTCATGGAAGAATGGACAAAGCTAAG